CAAAAGATACATATAGGGACAAAAATAAATAAATAAAATAAAAATAAATTATAATAATAATGATTTTCCTGTAGCAACTGCTGGACTGAGAATTGTAACATTATGTACATGAGTAACAGTATTACAGTTTTGGCCTGTGAGTGAGTCTCTTGGTTGTGTGTTTCTTGATTGTGTTTGTCCCGCAGGTGATAGCGCCATGCTACTCATTTTGCAGCTATAAAGAGAGTTTAATCTTTTGTGTGTGTGTGTGTGTGTGTGTGTGTGTGTGTTTGAAGGAACTGCCATAGTTTGTTTTGCTTCGTAATTAATTAGGTGCTCATAATAATTGGGTATAATAAATAGGCCTAAATAAGATCAGATTTTTATTAGTTCGAGACATGAAGAACATACATAAGGATGTATACATAAAATTGTATAAATAATATACATAATATACATAAAACCCATTTGTGTTTTAAATTAAATGATTATTTTTTTAGCATTTAAAAAGGTTGTTTGTCCATTTATGGACAACAAATAATTAAAAATACATTTAAATTAATACAGTGTTGTTGTTTTTTCTCTCTCTCATCGTTGATCATATTTGTGATACCAGTGAAACCGTTTCTGTCACATCACTCCTACCAGCCTCCTGATCTTCGGTCTTTAGTAGAGCATTAATTTCATATGATTCCTCTGTTTTCTGGTTCAGGTTTGATCCATTGAAAGAAGTTTCTTCAAACCCTTCTGCATTCTAGGTTAAAAAAAAAAAACAATATTTAAGAAAAATAAGCAACCTTTAATAGCAGTGCAAGAAAACATCTTAAATATATATGATCTTATAAAAGATATTCACCTGAGAATCCTGGTTCTGGTTTAATCTGGTAGCTGGAAGGTCATTAGACCTCACTGCTTCCTGGATTAGAAGTATGCACATTTATATTTGATGTATTTACATTTGCATTTATGTATTTTGCAAGTGATTTAGAATAGAGCAACATAAGCAATTCATCACAAAGTGAACAGTATTCTTAGTATACAATGCCAGGTTTTTTTTTTTTTTAGAAAGATATGGTAAATATATTAACCCTTATGCACTGTTCGTTTGGAGTGAACACTTGGGGCTGTTTGAGGTCCCAGAGACGAGCGTAATCGTTCTGCTTTGTGAATGTGTGGAAGGGTTGCCCCTTTTTTATCATGTATTTTGTGGTCTGCATTGTGGTGGATTTAGTGGTTTTATTTGACAAATTAAAAAGAAAAAGTGTAGATTTGATCATTTCCCTATTCATTTCAATATGGGGTCTCCAGGACCCCAAACATCCCGAGAGTGACTTTTTTTTTTTCACACTAACATATGACCAGATATCAATCCAGCTTTATTTTTTATTTGTAGAGTTACCAAGTGTTGACAACTCATGCCATTTAGATAAATGGAACATTTTTTTTCTCTCTCCAGCAAACAGACAGCAAAAAGACCCCGAACAGTGCCTAAGGGTCAAATACATTTCAGGTTGACTGTAAATCTCAAATCAGTGCAGTGGCACTAACCTGACAACACTGCAAACACTTCATGTCTGAAATCCCTATGTGTTAAAAGCAGTGAGAGAACGATTTTTGGTTAAGTCTCAAAACACAGATGCACTAAAGCTGATTCCTAGATTGAACATTCAACCTTAATGAATCACTCGTTGTTCTCATTTAATCATCAATTTCTGCTGATTAGCACATCTAAATCTCTGAATTGCTTTAGCAGTGATGTTGAGGGTATGTTTAGTTGGCCTATCTCAGTTGAATATAGTGTTGGTGTTGAATAAAGAAATATAAATATTATACACAATCTTTATATCAAAATATAGACTTTACACCCCTTCTATGAAAAGCTTGATCAAGGAAGATAATCTGTGGTCAGATATTTGAAGAGTTCCAATGCAAAAGCCTCTAAAAGCCATCTTGGTCAAAAATGAGATCACGATACTAAGTGAATGCTGTCCACACATAGTATATGTTCATCAAGTACTTTCACTTCAAATGCGCTAAATCCCAGCCTCAACCCAACCAGAAGTACCAGTACTTACATAGAAACCTATACATAGTAGCCAGAAAGAAATGCTAATTTTAAAGAAAAACATCAGACGTACTTAGAGGCTTTTGCATCTGAAGTCTTCATTTATCCATTTATATTTCATAATCATCCATTAGACGTTTAATATGTTCTCTTGGAAAGACATTTTAATGCAAAGTTAACTAAAAATCACATCTGGCAAATTGCAAATTGCAAATTGCAAAAAAAAAACAAAAAAAAAAACAGAACCAAACCGAAAACTTTTGTTATATATGTGTGTGTGTGTGTGTGTGTGTGTGTGTTAAAAAAATATGTATTGAGCCTAACTATATTGTTGCATTTTTTGTATATAAAAATTTGACAATTGGAAATTGTGCTTGTTCCTCAATCTGGCAACCCACGTGAGCATCGAGTTTGAGGAGGAAGGGGCGGGATAAACTCTCTCCAATATTTTTGAATTTGGACTGCAGTACCCATTTCAACCACTAGCTGTCAATACTACATACTGCATTTTTGTTGCAATTATCCTGCTCATTGTAAAACTAAAATACAGTAAGTTTATATCTGTAGTCTCATATTCATTGTAATCACAGTCTGTTTACAACAGCAGTTGGAAACCACCATGACTCAATGGCAGAAAAAACAAAACACTCATAATAAACTCAGATTTTGAAACCCTTTTTCATCAATAATCAAAGCGAGTGTGTCAATTAAATTAAAATATCTCATATTAAATGTTTACACTAGTGTGTTGATATTAACACACATATGTCTGCAAGATGTCTTTTAAAGATCGCTTCATCTGGAAAGCGTCTGCTGTGTACAAACATCTTATAGACATCTTTAATACACCAGTTTTACATACATTCTAAATCATAAACATCTTGAAGACATTTTCTAAATGTCTATTTGACATCTGACAGTAAAAATCTCAGTGCCATATTGCAGATGAACAACCACTCTAAAAAATGTGTCTTGCAGATATAAATGCAGACATCTAGACTTTTCCGTGATGTATGTGTGCTATCAGTGTTTATTACACGGCTCTGTGGAATACTTTATTCT